TGGGCTTTAACACAGCCTGAACCACACAAATAAACCCCGTGAGAGAGAGGAGCTGCCTCTGCACAATGTTTCAGATTAATTCCACCCACTCACCTCCAAACCATTACACAGAGCTTGCAGCTCAAGTGTGTTCTGAGAATTACATGCACTTGGAGGAACAGATTGTTGAACTCCTCCAGAGTTTCCACTGTGCCAGAGCCCATGAGGAGTAAAACACCTCAGTCCACATCTCAGCTGCTCTGGTTAATCCTTCCACACCTCAGCTAAAGACAAAACAAACTCATTCTGCTCCTCAGGAGAATAAACCACAGGATGTAATGGGGTTGGATTATTCTTCTTTATGTTGTAAGAACGAGGAAAAAATTAGGTTAATCAGAATCTTTCAGCACAAAATGCCCCTTCTGGCATAAACACTTCTGTGAACACTGGAATATTAATATTGGGGGAAAAAAAATTCTTTCCTGGAGTTGGAAAATAAATGTGTCATCACTTATTCAATTCCTTGAGTACAATTAGAAATATTTACAGGGGAAATAACCATTCCAGCTCCAACAGAAATTCATTGGTCTGCAGCTTAAAGGTGAAGGTTTGAGATGGTTTTTCACTTCCCAGGAAGAAAAGGCAAAGGAGCTGTCCTGGCTCAGCCCTGGGAGTGCCAGGGGAAAGGGAGAGCAGGTTCAGAAATAAACCCAGAATGTAAAGCCATGGTTTATTGCTATTTATTATTATTTATTTAATGCCAGGGGACAGGCAGAGCAGCTCCCCAGACTGCTCAGGGAATAAACCATAGGATGTAAAGCTGTGGTTTATTGCTATTTATTATTATTTATTTCATGCTGGGGGAGAGGCAGAGCTGTCCCCACCCTGGCTGCTCAGAGAATAAACCACAGGACGTAAAGCTATGGTTTACTGCTGTTTATTATTATTTATTTAATGCCAGGGGAGAAGCAGAGCAGGTCCCCAGCCTGGCTGCTCAGGAATAAACCACAGGATGTAAAGCTGTGGTTTATTGCTATTTATTATTATTTATTTCATGCTAGGGGAGAGGCAGAGCAGGCAGGACCCTCAGCAAATGCTTTTAGTAATGAATTCTTCATTTCTTTCTTTCCTCAGGACATGGCACAAGGGCTCCTTCCCCACACAGATGTTTATTAAAAAGGAACAAAGGAACACCAATAGCCAAGCTCTCGATAAACCAATTAAACCACAGGCAGAGGGAAAATTGGAATCATAAGAGGTGAGGGGTGACAACATCAGGACTTGCTCTCAGACAGGAAACTCAACCCCCAAATTGATAGAACAGAGACACACAGGGCTCAGCCCCAGGTGCAAATTCCCCCTGGATGGATGGGATAACTCAGAGAGCTTGAATTCCACAGGCACTCCAGGCCCAGATCATTTCCTACAACTGGCCTGGAAAAGAAGTTTTTATTGTCTTTAGGTGGTGAGGCATAAAAACCACCTGAATTTATAGCAAGGGTCACATCAGTCTCCAGAAGGCTTGGAGAGGCAAGGTTGGTTAATCAGAAACCAATTAATGCTTGTTTCAGTTGCTTTAGACCAAAAATTCCCCTCCCAAAAGCACCTCAGGGGAGATTCCCACATTTCCTGACCCATCTGGTGGCAGGCACGAGGAGCTGGGAGCAGCAGCCCCTGCCCAAATGCAATTTCTGAATCGCACTTGAGACTTCTCATGTTCTTCACTCGGCGTAAAATGGACAAACCAACACAACCAACAAAAATGGACAAACCCAAGACAAGCAACAAAAATGGGCAAACCCAACAGAACTGTCAAAAATGGACAAACCCAAGTCAACCAACAAAATTGGACAAACTCAAGACAACCAACAAAAATGGGCAAACCCAATAAAAACAACAAAATGGACCAACCAAACACAACCAATAAAAATGGACCAAAACAACACAGCCAGGATTTCTGCAGCCAGAGCAAAGCTCACAAAAGCAGCATCAGCTCGCAGTGCCCACCTCCCCGAGCTGTGTCATTCAGCAGCCACACTGTAAATGACACTCCCTTTGCACAGGGAGCCAGGCCAAGAGCTCTGAGCAGGATGAGCGCTTCTAGAGTCCAACTGTAAGATAAGAAAAGCCAATTTTCAAATAGTTCTCTCCTCATATTCCCCAAAGAGCCGAGATGAGCAGCGAGCCAAGGATTTGCAGCTGAATGGCTGATGCTGTGAACTTGCAATTGAAGAAAAGGCTCGTCCTGAGGATGCCAAAAGCTCTTCTGGAGGAGGGCCCAATAGATGGAAATTAAACCCTGTGACCGTGTTCACAGGGGTCTGAGGATGGGGAAGAGATGAGGATCTGACTCCATGTTTCAGAAGGCTTGATTTATTATTTCATTCTATATATTATATTAAAACTATACTAAAAGAAGAAAGGATTTCACCAGAAGGCTAGCTAAGAATAGAAAAACAAGAATGATAGTAAAGGCTTGAGACTGACCAGAGGGTCTGAGACAGCCAGACAGTGATTGGCCATTAATTAGAAACAACTACATGAGACCAATCACAGATGCACCTGTTGCATTCCGCAGCAGCAGATAACCATTGCTTACATTTTGTTCCTGAGGCTTCTCAGCGTCTCAGGAGGAAAAATCCCAAGGAAAGGATTTTTCAGAAAAAATCATGGCTACAAAACCCACGTAAACCATTCTCTTTAACAGGAGAGTGAGACCTTCTGTGGCCACCTGCTCTGGCCTTTTGTACCTGTCAGGTGTGGACAGAGACCCTGCAGTGGCTCCTTCAGCAGTGCCTCCTCCTCCTCGCTGGGACAGGGTGCTCCAGCACCCAAAGCTGCACCTGAAGCTGCTCAAGCCTCCCTAGACTTGGTCCTTCTTGCACTTTTTAGACTCCACTTTTCCATTTCTGCACCTGTGGCTTTATCCAGTCACAATCCAGGAGGGATTGCACAGAATCCAGCCCAAACTCTGACACCAAGGTCTCATGTGAGTGAAGGGCTCTGCAGCTGGCAGGAGGACATGGAGACACTTGGTTCAGGGGCTGGTGTGGATCCAAAAATCTCCTTAAGCTTGCCTGGGTTTGGGCTAACTCCCAGAAGTCTCAGAGATGCCATTTTACCTAAGAAGCTGTGCAGCATCTCTTCACTGAGCCCCTCAAAAGCAATATAAATGAGCCAGATTATCCTCTGCCTTCCCAAATCATTCAGGAGCAATTGTGAAAGCCCTCCAGAGCATGGAGGCTGGTGTTGAGCCAAAAATCTCCTCAAACTTGCTGGGTTTGGGCTATAAGTCTCAGAGATGCCTTTTACCTAAGTTGTGCAGCATCCCTTTATTGAGCTCCTCAAAACCAACACCAACGAGCCCAAAAGCATCCTCTGCCCTCCCAAACCCTGCAGGAGCAATTGTGAAAGGCCTCCAGAGCACGGAGGCTCTGAGGGGTGATGCAATCCTTGGAGGAAATGCTGATATCTCGTGCCACAGCACACAGCTCGCTGCCAACACATCCACGGGGCTCAGGTCAGAGCAGGACAAACCCCTCAGGACATTCCTCTCCTCCTGGCTGGCCGGGGTTGTGCAGGAAAACAACTGACAAACAAGCAGCCATGGCTGAATTTCCATTAATCAGCAGATAAGCAGCCGTGCCTCAATTTCCATTAATCAGCAGATAAAGCACAGAGTGCTGCAGGCACTCACTGGGTCCCGGCTGCCAGGGAGCTCCTGCCCATTCCTTCCACCAGGAATGCTCATCTGAGAAATGCAAAGCTGTGTTTCGTGTCAATGTGTGTATTTGTGATTGTGATATGTGTGGAGACCTACAGTGGGATAGCTGCCAATTCTAACAATAACTGAGGAAAATAAACCATGGAAAAAGCCTATGAACCTATCTTCTGTTTGCAATTAACCCTTGTTGATTTAGGAGCATTGGAATTAAAGCGTTAAGGATGTTGCTTTTTCCTTGTAGTTAATCCTTAAAGAGTTCTGCAATAATAACCTTTCTAATTATAATTTTAGAATATTGCTTGTATCCTTGAAACTATAGCTTTGGAATATATATAAAGGAAACACACTTATCTCACACCTCAATAAAGCAGAGAAAAACAGCTTGAGAAAGGAAGGTGAACATCACCTCAAGGATTTATGGTTTCAGCCAAGGGAAGCTGGACATCACTGTTATGAGATTTATAGTCCTTGCAATTAAAAGGTGGAGCATCAGGAGCACTGGCACTCTGCAGCAGGCAGTGTCTCAGCGCTGGGTTTTGCCCAGGATTTTGTAATAAAGGGTTATGTAATTCCAAGTCATTTCTGCTGATGGAATGTGGGAGCTACTGCAAAACACTCCAGAGGATCAGGCAGAAACTTCGTCTGGGAGCGCTTCTGGCACCGTGCAAACACTTTCCTGCCTCTGCAATTTATGGTTATTAATGTCAGTGCCATGGCTCTGGCAGGCAGCACCTCCACCCTTTCCAAGCCTTTGCTTCAAAAGAACTGCTCTTGATGGAGAAAATCACGACAACCATTTCAGCTAGGATTTTTTTTAAGGTTTTTTTCCTTTCTTTTGTTAATTGCTGTATTGCTTTAGTAAGGAGCTTTCCAAAGCTCAGCACAAAACGATTCCACATTGCTCCATCCCCATCTGCAAAAAGCAGCGCTGGTGCAGCGCCAAGGAGGTGACACTGCCACAGCTAGTGATGAAAAAGCGAGGCAGGAAGTTATCTGCAGCACAAACAGCTAAACAGGCAAAACATGCGTTTGATTAACAGAAGAAACAAAAGAAAGTGTGACTCAGCTCGGGCAAATGAAGCTCTTTAAACGAGCTGCTCTCCATCCCAGCAGCTGAATTCAGCCCTCTCTGAGGGGAGCAGCCCCTCTCTGGGAGCTGTGGGCATGGGCAGAACTCCCTGTGATATCCCAGACTGGAA